TTGTTAGGACTGGGCAAGGATAAAGGGTAAACATGGCAATTTATGAGGGAGAAATAAAAAAGACTAAATCAGTCCACTGAAGGAGCTATAGCAAAGAGTGGGAACAGCTTTGTACAATGTTTGACTAGTCGATAGCATAATTTACTATATAAATAACCATCTATGTGAACTTTTTATTGCTTTCCACATGCATTTTCCACAGCTGGCATGTGTGTTTGTTTATGTATCTATAAACCATTCTGCAAATACTGTTACCAAGCTGACTCTCTGTGTGTCAGAATTATAAATGCACCGTATTACAAGTTTATTTGTAATATTATCCATTTGAACGTAAAGTTATCTGTCTAGCTTTGCTTTTTTTTTTTTGACAGTTATAAGTGTGTAGATAATTTTCTTGCCTCAGTACTGTTTCAATTTTCATGTTTTTATTTTTACACAGAGAGAATTGCCAGTGTGTCATCTAGTGCACCCTAATGGCCAGATATAACTTCACCAAGTTTGAGGGTCTTGCTAGCTTAAGTAGGTTGAAATACTTCATACTCCTTTCCTGTGTTAGGAAATGCTGTTTTCTGTAAATTAATGCAGGTTTAAAGGAGGGATTTGAACCAGGCTCAAACCTGGTTATGGTTCAGGAACCGCATTACCAACAAGGCTCTATCACCTGTTCAGGATACTCCTTTTTCTCTCTTTTTTTTGTCAATCTCTCTGAGTTTCCAGGTTTCTTTCTCTCTCCCTCAGTTTCTCTAGCTGCTGTAACATACTTCACTTTCCCACCTCCCCTTCCCAAATTTAAAAGACTTTCCTTTTCTTGGTCTTAGTTTATTTCCTATATCAGAATTACACATTTGTAAATCTTGTTTGATTTTTTTAAAATGACTAGTTTGCTTATGATGAGAAAACCTCCCTTAAAAATAGATTTCACCAGGTGAAAAAGGCTTAAAAATTTCAAGCTAATTGTTATGAAGAGACTATTAAATTATCATTAAAAATTCTTAATTGTAGATTTTTTAAAAACTTAAAACAAATATAAAAGTTCTTCAAATCCAAGATTTTGTGCTGTTTAGAGGAGACAGAGTTCAGGATCTTTGTGCATAAGTTATTTTGTTGGTCCAAGAAAAAAAATAATTTTCTCAAATTCCATTACTATAAATGTATTTACTCTAACAAATGTCTTAGTTGGTCTCTTACCAATCTCTTAAGTGTTCTCCGGAAAATAATATGAAAGCAGTGGTGGCAACTATTTTGAATGGCAAATATCAAATACTGCTGAGCTGAGATCAGTGTGTTAGTCATGTTATTTCCAGTTAGTTGATTTGCACTAAATGTTACAGCTCTCCCATAAGGAGCGAAGGGATGCCAGAGTCCTGCTTCTTAGGGCTGTGTAAGTGTGGGACCAGAGCCTTTGTGGGTACGTGGCTATTCTGTCAATGCCACAGCTGCAGTCTGACAATAAAATAAGCAGAAATTCGTCAGAAACAGCCTCCCTATTAAAGGTGGATGTTCTTTCAGTTTTTGCAGGCTTAGTGTTGACCCTTGCATTGCACTGGCATTACCTGCTGTTAGCATAGTGGGAAATGGAACGGGGGCTGCAAAAAGTGGAAATAACAGATGTGTCCTTCAGATATGGTAATGCTTGGTTGGACTTTTGCCCCCTGATCTTGAAGGCTCATCAGTTGCTTCATGGCAGCCTAACGTACTTCACACTGTGACTGGGTTTTCTGGATGCTTGAGAGAAGTGCATCACTATCAGGAAAACCACAGGAGTAAATCTTTGCAAGAGTGTTATCTTTTGAACTCAAAGGGATGTTTTTGAATATCATTGTAAATGAATAAGTAAATATTGGAAGGATCCATATCAAACATTTTTTAAAAAGTCTTATTTTGATTTTATGTGGATGCTGAAGTAGTCACAATGACTTCATGTCTTGTTGAAGGTACCTTGTTGAGGATTCTGCCCTCAAAGTAATATTCATGGTAGAATTAATGTGAATAGTCAAGATGCAGTGTTACTTCCTAAGCTGATAATTTGCTATCTGCCTTGGTAAAGACATACCTACTTCGTTTTGCATCTCAGAAATGTATGGTGGTGTTTCCAAGGGGAAATAGGAGGTCCTTGATTTGATCTTTCTGTTGAATTTCAGTTTGGTTAACTATTTCAATTTCATTTAATAAGATGCATTATTCTTCATTTCCTATCCTAACATGCAATGCAGAGTTCACATGACACTACATAAACAGTTGTGTTGCATAACAGAGGTAGACCTGCTTTTGGAGCCCTTAAGGTGGAAAGTATTATATATGTATATGTATATCTGCTCAGTAAAACTTTAAACAGAATAATATCAATAATTAATAAAAATAATAGCAAATATTTATACTTAACATTTTCCACTGTGTTACTTCTCATTAAAGGGAAAGATGTTGTCAGAGTGGGGAAGCTCTGAAAATAGAGAAAGGATTGTTTTTGCTGGTCAAACTTCAGAGTGGCTTTTCTGATGAATAACATAAGCTAATGATCTCAATCTGGTTTTGACCCATGAGTAATGGTACTGAATGATAACATTGTTGTAGCTGAGGTCACAGTATCTTAGCTTCAGCTCTAATGTTTTTATATCCCATGACTTTGACCAGTGTTGGCAGGTATAATGGGTAGTGTGTTGCTTGCTCTCCAGGGCTGGAGATCAACTTATAAGCAACTTCTTTTGCTGCTGTCACTCTACTTTGGGTGTAAGAAGTAAAAGTGAATATCTGATGGCCTAAATTTCCTTTCAGTGTTTGCCAGGATGTAACTGAAAATATTTGTAAATTAAAAAATATCTAGTTTTGGTAGAAAGTTGGCTTGATTGCACCTTCAGCAAAAATAGCCCAACACGTGGGCAAAGCACAGAACAAGTGGCAACTTCCACACATACATGTTTTAGAAACTGTGCTGGTAATTACAGCATTAATCTTTCTGATGCCATAGTTAAGCAGCATTATTTGATGCCCTCCCCTCATATCTCATGCAGCTGTGTGCTAGAGAGCAGACCCAAAAAGAACAAAATGGAACACTTTAAAATGGTAAATGTAGCTGCCTATCCAGTGCCAAGGTAACACTTTAATCCTGAATGGCTTCAGTGGGTTTTCAAATCACTGCATTCAGTTTCTTTGTTAATATGGACTCTTCTAGCATTTTAACTTGCCAGGCTGAGCAGTCTGAGAGGCAGCCTTCTCCAGTGAAGGCCTTTAATAGCTGTGTGGAAGCTGTGGTCAGTATCAGAGCTGCAAAGGAGAGCTCAGAGAGCTGTGTGAGTGTGCAGGCGTGAAGATGAGGTAAGGGAGGGAGGGTTAAACAATGAAGAGTGATGAGGCTTAAGACAACAAAGCTACATTTAATACACTGCAGAAGTATACTGTCTTTTGTTCTTAAAAGTATTTTATGTGACATTTTCTTTTTTATACTTCTACTACTTGCCAATCATTTTTCTGGAAAACATGGTGTTCAGTAAACCTGAAAATATCCACCATTCTTTGGGATGTCAAGCTCGTTTAGTTGCAATTTACAAATTTCAAAATGGTTTCAGCTAAGAAAAAGCAATTTTCTCATCTTCTCACCCGCAGGTGATGCAGATGTTTGCAACCTCTGTGCCTACTGCACGTATCAGAAACACTAAACATTTCATCTTGATTTCTCTCAGTGCCACCTACTTCCTGGAAAATTTGGGAGCTTTGCATTTACCACTTCAAATGCTCTGCCAAGTTTCTTTCATTTTTTTTTCCCTCCATTTTTGTCTCACACATTTATTATATGGTGACAAATGCAGTTTTCTTCTGACACCACATAATAGATGTGTCAAACACACATGTGTTCTAGTAAGACACTGCTCTTTATTTCCTGGCTCCAGCTGCAAAACATGAGTCAAGGTTAGAACGGTTGTACCTCTGTCAGTGATGTGTAATCTGTATCTTCAAACTTTCATAGCTTTTGCTATAGTAACAGGGAAAAATGACAAACTTCTATTCTCAGTGTTTCCTCCTCCCCAAGCACATCTTTTCTTCATTTTATAATCACCATTCACTTGTACTGATTATATCTACTAATTTCAGAGATTGATGCTGTCATTAACAGGAAAAAAAAACCCCTCCAGCTCCTAAAACAAATATACCAGTGCTCTGGCTTTGGGAGGTACAGCAGTTTTAGAGAAAGCATCATCCTATGATTCCGGCTTTAATGCAAAGAAAAACATTACTAGTCCATTTGCTGTGAATTCCAAGCACTAGTTTCTCCACATCAAGTGATATCTGATACTCTGCTGTATAATTGTAGGTAATGACCAAGCAGCCTCTCAACAAGACTCTGGTGACATAGGATGCCTTATTGATATATACCAGCTTTAAGTGTTCTGTACACTTCTGCAGTGTGTAGGGAGCCTCAGTGAAATACGAAATCAGACAGATCTTTTGTGAACTGAAGTGGAACAAGCCCCGTGTTACAAGTTAAAACAAAAACAAGCAAACAAGCAAGCAAAAAGAGAAAACTGAACACATTATCACTTCCTACTGGATCCAAACAGGCTAGGGATTTCATGTGTGAGGCAGTTATTCTGCAGTTACCCATGTGTGACTGGAAGCAGTAAGAACTATTATGCTTCCGTGTTAATCATAAACAGAGTTTTGCACTGAATATTTTTTTTTAAATCATTTTATCCCACAAGGTCCTAGCAGTTGAGTTGTTCCTGCAATAGAATGACAAGTAACTGGGTGACATGCTGTGAAAAATTTAGAAAATGAGAAGTGCTGTCCCATTTTTTAAACAGAGCAGAAACAACACAAATTCCATTAGGCAAGATGGAACAGACAATTAAAATGGGCATGCTTTTATTTTTGAAGCTAAACAGATAACTGATGCCTTTTTCAAATGTAATGACTATTGAAGTGATTCTCTTAATGTGAAGCAAAAACACTGATTTTCCTTTCTAAAATTAAAGCATTTACCTTATACAAAGTATAAGAAATGTTACCTGTTGCCTCCACCATTCCTTCTAGGATTACAACAATTTCTAGCTCCTCTTTGGGCAACTGGGCTTTGGAAATCTCCCAGAAAGGACTCTGCTGGTTAATTTCATGGCTGATGATCAGTGGTGAAACCAAAAAGAGACGATCATCCCCTGTGTAATAACCTACGTTGATATCTGTCTGGTTGAGTGGTATAAATTCCCCCTCCTTTGTCTGTTTGGATTTGATCAACTTGGCTCGTATTGATGCCTCTACAATGTGTGAATTCCTAAGGTCTCCTACTCGGAACATCAGACACAGCTTTCCATCCCGCATGGAAATAACTGCATTTGTAGAAAAAACCAAGGTTTCTGCCCTCTTCTTGGGTTGGGATATTTTCACAAACATGCAGCCAACCATGAAAGCGTTGACGATAGAACCTAAAACAGACTGCACTAAAAGCAGAATAATTCCCTCGGGACACTTGTCCGTGATGACCCGGTAACCATACCCAATGGTGGTTTCTGTCTCGATTGAGAATAAAAAGGCTGAGACAAACCCATTGAGGTTGCTGACGCATGGGGTCCACGTGCTGTCCCCTATATGATCCATATCTCCTCGCACGTAGGCAATTAGCCACCAGATCATTCCAAAGAAGAGCCAGGTCACAGTGTAAACCATGACAAAAATCAACAGGTTGAACCTCCACTTGAGATCGACTAAGGTAGTGAAGATGTCAGTCAAGTAACGGTAAGTCTCTCTGACATTCCCATGGTGGACGTTGCATTTCCCATCTTTCCTAACATACCTCTGGATTTTTCTCTTGGCACATTCTTTGTTTATATTTTTTGGCAGATCCTCTCTAGCTTGTTTGGGCAACTTTGGTTGATGAAAAGTGACAGGGCTCTCTATGTCCTGCTCCATTGAGTCTTCTTCCAGTACGTTAGCTGCCATTAAAAACAAACAAACAAGAAAAAGGCAGGCATTATTTTTCTTATTATTTCTCTAAGTCAACACAACTTCCTGTATTACTGTCATGAAATTGCTATTAATCAATAAAATTATCATCCTTGTTCTTAGCTCACCTATTCGATGCACAGCACAAAAATAAAATGATGCCAAGCATCCTCAATGTGTTGCTAAATAGAAATACTTTGAAGGAAAACTCTCTTTCTCATTTTCTCTCTATCCAGTCATTCTATCTACACCCATATTTAAATTCTTCAAGATGTGCTTGAGCAGATCTTGCTCCCTCCCTCCCCCCTTTACAGTTTAATGAATGAGGTTTTTTATGCACCAAGAAAGATCTTCTGGGAGATAGCAGATATAAATAAGGAAATGGATTCGCTTGGGGGTTTCAGTCAACAAGATGAGCAGAGAAAATGAGAAATTGTTGAGCTATTTTTTCTATCAATTGCATTGCTATGGGGAAAGTATTAAATAAGTATAAGGAGTTAAAAAGTCCCAACATATTTTAGAAAGAACCAATCCTACTCTTGTAGGAAAGGCAGGCTTTAGTGTAATATATACTAAGAGCAATTCAAGCACATTTCCGTAGAAAATCCATGTCCCACTGATACTGAGACAGGGAATTGTGTGTCCTTCTCCCAGTAACATAAAACATACAGTACTTCAGAACATGATTTGATTTTAATTTAATATGCCTGTGGCCTTTAATTCAAGTGTTCGTTTCTCTCTAACTGTATGGGCCTACACAGTGTTGCCCCATAAGTGTCTTACAAGAATTTAAAACCCAGAAATGACAGTAACTGCCTTTTTTTTTTTTTTTTGCTTCCCAGCCTTTTGAGATAAATAGCTTCATTACGTTTATGTGCAAAAAAGAAGAGTTTACTGAAGAGGTGAGTGGTATAATCAAATGGATTGTGCGTGAAGCTAAGGACCCGGTGAGGTCTAGGGTAACTGTTGTCTTTTTATTGGAAACCCTTCTGCACTCTGAAGTTTTCTCCTGCAGGAATTTCAGCTCTTGAACTCCTAATTTTCTGCCTTCTGGCTAGCTGGTATCATTCTGCTGCCAGGCTGTGAAGGGAAAAGGCTTCTGTTGGCTCTGCCTAGACTCTTGGCTCTGAATATAGTAGCACCGATGTGATGTTGTACCATCAGTTTTTGGAGATGCTCTCTCTGAACAGTCAGGACATTGACCTGCATGGTGTTAGTGCACCCTGCAATGGCCACAGTTTACATGAATGTGCTGTGGTAACTGCTGTGTGGGGTGTGGGCTGCCTGGTCCTGCTGTGGGTGGTGACCTTCAAGCAGAGAGCCAAGAGCAAGCAGCTTGGGTTGGGAAGCACTTAATTTCCCTGAACTCCTGTTGCCTCTGAGTATGTCTTGCCTGGCTGGGAAATGGATGCATAAACCCATCAAAGCTCCTGCTTGACACAGCAGACCTGTTTCTGGCACCCCACAGGCTTGAATGTCTCCACCTGATGCTACCCTGGGCAGTAGACTCAAACCCTTTCATGGAGGAGCTACCAGTGAAGCCTGGGCTCTTGCCAGAGAGAGGGTTGCACAAGGGGCTGCTCTTGGTTGGTCAGTGTGGCTTGAGGAGCATTTTAGTCTCTCACTCTTAGAAAGACATTCTACATAGCAGATCACCTGTGGAGTCTCACAGCTTTTTCAAGATGTGCAGACCCACCCCTCTGGATAAAGACCTCAGACCCTTGTAACATTTTAGGGGTAACTGACATACCCAGGGGAAAAAAAATGGGTTGGAAACTGGTTGTCTCTCCTTCTGAACAGCTCTACTGTGAACCAAGCCTCTGTTCAGCCCCATAGCCTTTTCTGTGCTAAAAGAAAGACTCAAAGGCTGACAGTAGCATGGAAACCTGGCAGCAGTTCTGTGTTGAAAGTCTGCATTCCATCCTGTGTCACTTTTCCAGTTTGTTGCCGTGTTTAAAGAGAGTGTTATTCAGGCTGATGGTAGCAGCGGCACTGGAAGTCGTGTCACAAGGCAGTCAGTTCTGAATGAACTTACCCCAGTTGGTGACAGCGTGCCTGCTTGCATTATCATTAATGCTGTGTAATGTATGACGAAATAAACACAATAAAAAGGCATGGCAGGAACACTGCGAGGCAGACTTAAGCCAAAGCCAGAAAATTTGAAGTTAAGGCTTTGCACTTTATGTTTAACTCTTTATTGTGCCTAGGAAATTACAGTCCACAGGAGCTATCACATCACTGCAGTAACAGACCCCTCAAATACTTATGAACAGCCTATGAAGGCTCTGGCTTTCGAGGCTTTAATGCAATATATGTTAGACTAGTAATGCTGGTTTAATATGGTCCATTATCTTTAAGCTATTATGAATATTTTGCTTTTTCCTCCCAGGTAGGGCCTGAAATGAACACAGAGACTGGGTGCAGGTTGCCTTTGAGAATATATCTTAATTCTGACCTTGCTGTTAAAGGCAACTCTGTCCTAGACCTCCCTGCCTGAACATCTCTTACTAGAAATGACAAAGTGTACTAAAAACCATAACAGGGCTAGGAGGGGACATAGGTGCTGATTTTATGAGTGGCATCAGAAGAAATCTGAAGGGACATCCCCATTCAGGGACACCTGCCAGTCATAAGCTGCACTGCTTTAGGCTGCTTTGCATACAGTGTTTAGTTCCTATAGAAGTACTTGCTAGCAATGAAGCACCTTTTATTCATACAACAATTTTAGTGATGCTTTCAAAACACTTTGTGTTGATTAAGCCCTTGAGCATCATATCCAGCCTCTCTTGTCTTTTACAGTACACAAGCTGACCCACAAAGAGAGGGAAGGGCCACATTTTCTCCAGTGGCTGTAGGTTTTGTTGAAGGAGCAAAGAGCTGCTGTGCTCCCCACATGGTGGTAGGCTGTCACTCTCACTGAAAGTGGGCTTCAGAGACCTAATCCTTCCAACATGGGAAAATTTTTATTAACCTTGAGAGGTCACACCAGAGCCGACTCCTATTTGGATATGTAAGAGGGCAGCTTTGGACAACCCACCCAGTGACTGCATTCAACCTGTCTCTCTCAGTGTAGCATCTTGCTAACACTCTTGTGGACATTTTAATCTCCCTGGGGGCATCTGACTATTTTGTAAACTCTTCAAGCTCTTGCAAGTGCTGTCATTTCTCAACTCTCACGCACTCTCCGAGAGGAAAAAATAAGGTCAAGTTTTTCCTCT